TGACTCTAGCCATTCTTGGGGTAACAGGAAAGGTACCATTGCCTGGAATGGAGTGGTGTTCTTGCTACTTTATTTTAAACTCCAGGGGGTACCGAAGTATACTGGAGGGAGACGCTTTAGAAATGGAGATATTTATCCTTGTAAATACAAGCTGTGATTTATACTGTGGTAGTGCCTAGGAATCCCGATCATGGATCAGGGCCCCTTGTTCTAGGTGCTGCACAAACACAGAACAAGAAGAGGTTTCTTGTCCCAAGAAACTGACAGTCCCAGTATAAATACGTTATAGAGTCCAAGGCCAGAAGGAACTAATGTGATCATAGTGTCTGACATCCAGTATAACAGAGTCTAGGACTTCCCTGAATTGATAACAGAATCTCCGTATAATAAAAAAGTAAAGACCTGTATCTATGCCATGCCAAGAGTCCTCAACCATTCTGCTAACAGAGGTATCTCAACCAACCACCACACTGACATGACACCGAATCTGCATGCACCAGTTTCAGCGGTTCTAAGGAGTCAGTGCCATGAAGGGGACTGCTCAGAGTGGGGATTACTTAGTCCAGCTGCCACAGTTCTTCAAAGGTTGATTCACCACCTGTACAACCCAACACAAAGTTGCCAGCGCAACCCACCCATAACCCACCATTCACAAATCAATACCACCAGCACACACAATAACAACACACACTCACGGCCTCTTACTGCAACGCTTACGCCTCAATGGCTCCTCCAGATCCTTCCCCCGCCCCCTCCCGAGCTGCCAGCCTGTGCCACTTGAAAAATAATGCCCTATTCCTCCAGAACCTTCCCCTGGTACCTGCCTAACTGCCGGCATATGCCCCCATACAGACAGCGCCCTGCTCCTCCCGAACCTTCCCCCCCCACCTCCCTAACTGCCAGCCTCTGCCCCCATACAGACAGCGCCCTGCTCCTCCCGAACCTTCCCCCGGTATCTCCCTAACTGCCAGCCTGTGCCTGCATACAGACAGCGCCCTACTCTTCCAGAACCTCCCCCCACCTCCCTAGCTGCCAGCCTCTGCCCCCATGCAGACAGCGCCCCGCTATTCCAGAACCTTCCCCCCAGACCCCTAACTTCCAGCCTGTGCCCCCATATAGACAGCGCCCCACTCTTCCAGAACCTTCCGTCAGTACCTCCCTGCCAGCCTGTGCCCCCATACCAACAGCGCCCCGCTCCTCCCGAACCTTACCCCTACCCCTCTAACTGGCAGCCTGTGCCCCCATACAGACAGCATCCCCCTCCTCCCGAACCTTCCCCCGGTATCTCCCTAACTGCCAGCTTGTGTCCCCAAACAGAGAGCGCCCCGCTCCTCCAGAACCTCCCCCCACCTCCCTAACTGCCAGCCTGTGCCCCCATACAGACAGCGCCCCGCTCTTCCAGAACCTTCCCCCCACCCCCTAACTGCCAGCCTGTGCCCCCATACAGACAGTGCCCCGCTCCTCTCGAACCTTACCCCCATCCCTCTAACTGGCAGCCTGTGCCCCCATACAAACAGCACCCCTCTGCTCCCGAACCTTCCCCCGGTACCTCCCTAACTGCCAGCCTATGCCCCCATACAGACAGCCCCCCCCCCCTCCTCCCGAACCTTCCCCCGCATCTCCCTAACTGCCTGTCCCCAAACAGACAGCGCCCCGCTCCCCAGCCTGTGCCCCCATACAGACAGCGCCCGCTCCTCCCTCCCCCCCACCCCCCCGCCGGCCTCTCCAGAACCTTCCCCCCCACCTCCCTAACTGCCAGCCTGTGCCCCCATACAGACAGCGCCCCGCTCCTCCCGAACCTTCCCCCGGTCCACCTCCCTAACTGCCAGCCTGTGCCCCCATACAGACAGCGCCCCGCTCCTCCCGAACCTTCCCCCGCCACCTCCCCAACTGCCAGCCTGTGCCCCCATACAGACAGCGCCCCGCTCCTCCCGAACCTTCCCCCGCCACCTCCCCAACTGCCAGCCTGTGCCTCATACAAACAGCGCCCCGCTCCTCCCGAACCTTCCCCCGGTACCTCCCTAACTGCCAGCCTGTGCCCCCATACAGACAGCACCCCACTCTTTCAGAACCTCCCCCCCACCTCCCTAACTGCCAGCCTGTGCCCCCATACAGACAGCTCTCCGCTCCTCCCAAAGCTTCCCCCGCCACCTCCCTAACTGCCAGCCTGTGCCCCCATACAGACAGCGCCCCGCTCCTCCTGAACCTTCCCCCGCCACCTCCCTAACTGGCAGCTTGTGCCCCCATACAGACAGCGCCCTGCTCCTCCCGAACCTTCCCCCGGTACCTCCCTAACTGCCAGCCTGTGCCCCCATACAGAGAGCACCCCACTCTTTCAGAACCTCCCCCACCTCCCTAACTTCTAGCCTGTGCCCCCATATAGACAGCGCCCCACTCTTCCAGAACCTCCCCCCACTTCCCTAGCTGCCAGCCTCTGCCCCCATGCGGACAGCGCCCCACTCTTCCAGAACCTTCCCCCCCACCTCCCTAAGTGCCAGCCTGTGCCCCCATACAGACAGCGCCCCACTCTTCCAGGACCACTCCCCACCCCTCTAACTGGCAGCCTGTGCCCCCATACAAACAGCACCCCGCTCCTCCCGAACCTTACCCCGGTATCTCCCTAACTGCCAGCTTGTGCCCCCATACAGGCAGCGCCCCACTCTTCCAGAACCTTCTGCCAGTATCTCCCTAACTGCCAGCCTCTGCCCCCATATAGACAGCGCCCCACTCTTCCAGAACCTTCCTCCAGTACCTCCCTGCCAGCCTGTGCCCCCATACAGACAGCGCCCCACTCTTCCAGAACCTCTCCCCACCTCCCTAACTGCCAGCCTGTGCCCCCATACAGACAGCGCCCCGCTCTTCCAGAAGCTCCCCCCAGACCCCTAACTTCCAGCCTGTGCTCTCATAGAGACAGTGCCCCACTCTTCCAGAACCTTCTGCCAATACCTCCCTAACTGCCAGCCTGTGCCCCCATACAGATAGCGCCCCGCTCCTCTCGAATCTTACCCCCACCCCTCTAACTGCCAGCCTGTGCCCCCATACAGACAGCGACCCACTCTTCCAGAACCTCCCCCCACCTCCCTAACTGTCAGCCTGTGCCCCCATACAAACAGCGCCCTGCTCCTCCCGAACCTTCCCCTGGTACCTCCCTAACTGCCAGCCTGTGCCCCCATACAGGCAGCGCCCCACTCTTCCAGAACCTCCCCCCCACCTCCCTAACTTCCAGCCTCTGCCCCCATGCAGACAGCGCCCCGCTCCTCCAGAACCTTCTGTCAGTACCTCCCTGCCAGCCTGTGCCCCCATAAAACAGCACCCCCCTCCTCCAGAACCTTCCCCCCCACCTCCCTAACTGCCAGCCTGTGCCCCCATACAGACAGCGCCCCACTCTTCCAGAACCTCCCCCCCACATCCCTAAGTGCCTGCCTGTTCCCCCAAACAGAGAGCGCCCCACTCTTTCAGAACCTTCCGCCAGTACCTCCCTAACTGCCAGCCTGTGCCCCCATACAAACAGCGCCCCGCTCCTCCAAAACCTTCCCCCTACCCCAATAACTGCAAGGCTGTGCCCCCATACAGACAGTGCCCCACTCTTCCAGAACCTTCCCCCCACCCCTCTAACTGCCAGCCTGTGCCCCCATACAAACAGCACCCCGCTCCTCTCGAACCTTACCCCCACCCCTCTAACTGGCAGCCTGTGCCCCCATTCAGACAGCGACCCCCTCCTGCAGAACCTCCTCCCCACCTCCCCAACTGCCAGCCTGTGCCCCCATACAAACAGCACCCCGCTCCTCCCGAACCTTCCCCCGGTATCTCCCTAACTGCCAGCTTGTGCCCCCATACAGGCAGCGGCCCACTCTTCCAGAACCTTCCCCAGCCACCTCCCTAACTGCCAGCCTGTGCCCCCATAGAGACAGCGCCCCGCTCCTCCCAATCCTTCCCGCGCCACCTCCCTAATGCCAGCCTGTGCCCCCATACAGACAGCACCCCACTGTTCGAGAACCTTCCGCCAGTACCTCCCTAAGTGCCAGCCTGTGCCCCCAAACAGACAGCGCCCCACTCTTCCAGGACCCCCCACATCCCTAACTGCCAGCCTGTGCCCCCAAACAGACAGCGCCCCACTCTTCCAGGACCCCCCAAAATCCCTAACTGCCAGCCTGTGCCCCCATACAGACAGCACCTCTCTCCTCCCGAACCTTCCCCGCCCCCTCCCTAACTGCCAGCCTGTGCCCCCATACAGACAGCGCCCCGCTCCTCCCAAACCTTCCCCCGCCACCTCCCTGCCAGCCTGTGCTCCCATACAGACAGTGCCCCGCTCCTCCCAAACCTTCCCCCGCCACCTCCCTAACTGCCAGCCTGTGCCCCCATACAGACAGCGCCCCGCTCCTCCCGAACCTTCCCCCGCCACCTCCCTAACTGCTAGCCTATGGCCCCATACAGACAGCGCCCCGCTCCACCCAAACCTTCCCCCGGTACCTCCCTAACTGCCAGCCTGTGCCCCCATACAGACAGCGCCCCGCTCCTCCCGAACCTTCCCCCGCCACCTCCCTAACTGCCAGCCTGTGCCCCCATACAGACAGCGCCCCGCTCCTCCCAAACCTTCCCCCGCCACCTCCCTAACTGCCAGCCTGTGCCCCCATACAGACAGCGCCCCGCTCCTCCCAAACCTTCCCCCGCCACCTCCCTAACTGCCAGCCTGTGCCCCCATACAGACAGCGCCCCTGCTCCTCCCGAACCTTCCCCCGCCACCTCCCTAACTGCCAGCCTGTGCCCCCATACAGACAGCGCCCCGCTCCTCCCAAACCTTCCCCCGCCACCTCCCTAACTGCCAGCCTGTGCCCCCATACAGACAGCTCTCCGCACCTCCCGAACCTTCCCCCGCCATTCCCCTGCCAGCCTGTGCCCTCATACAGACTGGTGGCACTGGGGGTCGGGGGGCAGAGTACCCGGGCTGCGGTGAACGGGGAAGGTGGTTCTCCCGAAGGGGTCGATCCTGCCTCTCTTACCCAGCTACAGCATCCACAGGGCGGGGCTCACAAGCGGGTTCTCCCGGGGCCAGCGGCGGCTGCCCTTTTTCACCTGGCTCATTTGTGCGGGTTCCTGCGGGTTCTTGTCATGATGCTGTCGAGCTGGTCAGTGCAGGGACAGGCTCGGCGTCCCGGGCATGCTGAGCTTGGTGTGAGGAAGGGGATGGAGCTACTTCTGGGCCCGAGAGTGCTCCTCGTCCACCTCCCCTTCCCCCCCCTTCCTCACTCCTGTACCGAGCTGACCAGCTAAGGGCCACCTGGAACCTCCCGCAGGGACAGGTGGTCGGGGAAACACCTTCGGGGTTTCTCCACCATGGATGCAGCGTGGGGTTGCTGGGCCTGTCCTGCGGGGCCTCGGTCTCGCGGGGTCAGACTCAGTCAATGGCACGTAGGCTCCCGGCGGCCTGCGTGTTGGCTCTCGAGGGTAACGCACTGCGCGTGCGCGTGTGTTGGAGTGCAGAGCCCACGTGCTGACATCCCGGTCCCTGCGGTGTAATCCTCACTACTGCGCCCGCCAGGGCCTTAGAGGGGTGACTCATGGCCATGGTGGAGCCGTCGGTCCACCCGCCGGAGTATCATGACCAGCAGTTGTAACGTGACGGGCCTCAACTGTGCTGCCAGCGGAGGGCGCCCCCAGATTTCGCTGGAGCCAGTTAGGGGAACTCCCTCCTTCGCTCTACTCTCGGGCCTGGTCCGCCCTGGGCAACGGACCTGAGCGAAACTGCTGCTCCCCACCGCCAGGGAGGTGGGGTCCCGACAGCTCTTTTCCTCGGGGGGGTTGACCTGGTGGCCGGTTTGGGATGAGAAACTTTCCAGACTTTTTCCCTGGGGTTGACCTGGTGGCTGGTCGGAGCTGGGGTTGACCTGGTGGCTGGGTGGGGACTTAGAAAATTTCTGCCTCATTCCCTGGGTTGACCTGGTGGCCGGTTGGAACTGGGATTGACCAGGTGGCTAATTGGAGATAAAACAGGGCCAGCCACCCACTGGGCCAGGAAAAAAAGGGGCTTATGAGCTGCAGCTGGGCAAAAGAGGGAGAAATGGGACCTTCCCCATTCACTGCAGCCCCAGTGCTCTGCCCCCCCACCTCCAGTGGCCACCAGTCCCATCATATACCCTGTACCCAGTGGCCACTGGGACTCGTAGCCTCCTGCATGTTAAAGAGACAGAGTCTCCCTGTAGCAGCCTGGCCAACCCCGATGGTTCAAACACCCTGAGATAGACCCCAAACCAGGAGATTGGACCAAAATCATGAGATTTGTTTTTTAAAAAGACGATATTGTAGTTTTGTTCAGTCTTTTGATGTTTGAACTTTTCACTCCCTGCCCTCTCCCCCGCACATGTGTGTGAGTCAATTACTGTTACTAGCACTCCCAAATGTATGTATTGGTGTTTCTGGCCTCTGCTTGCAGGTACTCTGCCCATTCCCCTGCCCTCAACCTGCCCCCTGGCCTCCTGCAGCTCATAGTTCTTCATCGCCCTCTCTCAGATCTGGGGGGCTGCAGTGGGTCCCCTCCCTTTCCCAGGCCTGCCGGGGCAGGTCCCCATCCCTCCTGGCCCCCAGCCAGGTGCTGCAGTGGGAGGAGGAGAAGCAAGGGGTGTCCTATTGCTCACAGGGAGGAAGGGAAAGGAGGGTCTTTCAGCTGCTGGGGTCTCTGCTCCCCCCGCCCCCTCCAAGAGGAGCAGGGAGAGCTCTGCCTGCTTCTGCAGCATTTCGGATTAGCTTCTCTTCCCTAGGAGGCGGGGCCATGGGAAAGGCAGCCAATCAGAGGGGGAGCTGGTAGGTAAGATTTCCCCCAATGAGAAGTAAGTCCTGGGGGAAAAAAAGAGTTCAGACTTGTTGGCAGTTTTTGACAGAGACATTATTAAGGGCACAAGAACAAACTATCCCACTGTGATAGGGGAGGAGTGGTAGATACGCTGGAGGGGAGGGATAGGATACAGAGGGACCTAGACAAATTAGAGGATTGGGCCAAAAGAAATCGGATGAGGTTCAACAAGGACAAGTGCAGAGTCCTGCACTAAGGACGGAAGAATCCCATGCACCGCTATAGACTAGGGACCGAGTGGCTTGGCAGCCATTCTGCAGAAAAGGACCTAGGGATTACAGTGGACGAGAAGCTGGATATGAGTCAACAGTGTGCCCTTGTTGCCAAGAAGGCCAATGGCATTTTGGGCTGTATAAGTAGGGGCATTGCCAGCAGATCGAGGGACGTGATCGTTCCCCTCTATTTGACATTGGTGAGGCCTCATCTGGAGTACTGTGTCCAGTTTTGGGCCCCACACTACAAGAAGGATGTGAAAAAATTGGAAAGAGTCCAGCGGAGGGCAACAAAAATGGTTAGGGGACTGGAACACATGAGTTATGAGGAGAGGCTGAGGGAGCTGGGATTGTTTAGCCTGCAGAAGAGAAGAATGAGGGGGGATTTGATAGCTGCTTTCAACTGCCTGAAAGGGGGTTCCAAAGAGGATGGCTCTAGACTGTTCTCAGTGGTAGCAGGTGACAGAACAAGGAGCAAAGGTCTCAAGTTGCAGTGGGGGAGGTTTAGGTTGGATATTAGGAAAATCTTTTTCAGTAGGAGGGTGGTGAAGCACTGGAATGGGTTACCTAGGGAGGTAGTGGAATCTCTTTCCTTTGAGGTTTTTAAGGTCAGGCTTGACAAAGCCCTGGCTGAGAAGATTTAGTTGGGGATTGGTCCTGCTTTGAGCAGGGGGTTGGACTAGATGACCTCCTGAAGTCCCTTCCAACCCTGATATTCTATATTCTATGAGAGGAGTATGGTAAGAGACCACCCCGGTTAACCAGGAGATCTTCAATGACCTGAAACTCAAAAAAGAGTCCTATAAAAATTGGAAACAAATTATGAAGGATGAAGATATAAAAAACAACAACAGAAGCCTGTAGAGACAAAATTAGTAAGGTGAAGGCAAAACAAGTTTAAACAAATTAGGGATATAAACGGTAAAAAGAAAACATTTTACAAATACATGAGACAGAAGAGGAAGACCACAGACAGGGCAAGCCTATTATTCAATGAGGAGGGAAAGACAATGACAGAAAACACAGCCATGGCTGGAGTTAATGCCTTTTTTGCTTCAGCTTTGAGAGGGGTAGCCGTGTTAATCTGTATCAGCAAAAACAAAGGGGAGTCCTTGTGGCACCTTAGAGACTAACACATTTATTTGGGCATAAGCTTTTGTGGGCTAGAACCCACTTCATCAGATGCATGGAGTGGAATACACAGTAGGCAGGTATAAATACACAGCACATGAAAAGATGGGAGTTGTGTTACTGAGTGGGGGGTCAGTGCTAACGAGGCCAATTCAATTAGGGTGGATGTATGGCCCATTCCCAACAGTTGACAAGAAGGGGTGAATATGAACAGAGGGAAAATTATTTTTTGTAGTGACCCAGCCACTTCCAGTCTTTATTCAGGCCTAGTTTGACGGTGTCAAATGGGAGTGGCTGCACACTATTACTGAAAAATTGCTGACGTTGTCAGTTTTACCATATAATTATAAAATAAAATGATTGGAATATAAATATTGTACTTACCTTTCAGCATATAGTATATAGAGCACTATAAAACAAGTCGTAAGAAATTTTAGTTTGTTCTGACTTTGCTAGTGCCTTTTTATGTAGCCTGTTGTAAAATTAGGAAAATATCTAGATGAGCTGATGTACCCCCTGGAAGAGCTCTGCCTGCCCCCAGGGGTACGCTTACCCCTGATTGAGAACCACTGATCTGTGTTATTGCCATTCTTTCATGTCTCAAAGCTATTATATTCCATTATAGAGAGAGTGGTGGGGGAAGCTAGCAGGGCTCCTGGGTTCTGTTCGTGGCTCGGCCGCTTTCTGTATGAGACTGAGCAACGAATTGCACCGGCCTGGGACATAGTTTTCCCATCTGTAAAATGGTGATTATAATTCCTATCTGACAAGAACATTGGCTGGGAGGGATGTTTGTCAAATGCCTTTATTATCTGTACTATGGTAGCAGTGAGATCGAGCCCCCATTGCAATAGGTACTATACAACCATAGTGAGAGACAGTCCCTGCCCCAAAGAGCTTACACTTTAATCAGACAAAAGGTGGGAGAGGAAATGACTTGTCCAAGTTCACCCAGCAAGTCAATGGTCAAGTCCCTTCCCCGCTCTGTGCCTCAGTTTCCTGAATGTTAGCCTAGTTCCCCAGCCACTGCACTATACTGTCTTTCAGGCTATCTGTTGTCTACTTGCAGAAAGCCATTTATTTTAGTTCACAGTCTCTCCTAAAGTGATTGCTAATGGTTCTACCATCAGCATCCACCATGGTTGGTAAGAGGTATTGAGCATCCCTGTGAGGAGCCCAGTGCTTCTGGATTAGCTGTATGTCTATCCCTTGGGAGGTTACTTTACCTCTGTATTTGGCTCTGCTGTAACCTCTGCTGTTTTCCACAATTCAAGAAGGATGTTGATAAATTGGAGAGGGTTCAGAGAAGAGCCACGAAAATGATTAAAGAATTAGAACACCTGCCTTATAGCGATAGACTCAAGGAGCTATAGAGAAGTTTAAGGGGGTGACTTGATCACAGCCTATAAGTATCTACATAGGGACCAGAAATTTGATAATAGGCACTTCAGTCTGGCAGAGAAAGGTATAACATGATCCAATAGCTGGAAGTTGAAGGGAGACAAATTGAGATGGGAAAGAAGTTGTACATTTTTAACAGTGAGGGAAATTAGCCATTGGAACAATTTCTCAAGGATAGTTCATACAGCAACCACCCAGAACTAGGTACAGGGTGAAGGCTCTCTTAACAAAATGCATGGCAGACTTCAACTGCTTACTCTCAAGTGGTTACTCCTGCCCCACTTGTCTATCTTGGGCAGATGATTGAATCCTATGCAGTTTGCAGTGTTGGAGTTTTTTCAGATGAGATCTTAAACACTATGGCTGCAGAATCATGGAGTCCACACGGCCCCGGTTGAGATTACTGGGGCAGTTCACACCTCTCAGAGATGTTTCAGACTGTGTGGACTCAGGCAGGAAGCCCTGCATTGGCTGAACCTTGGCTCACCTCTGTGAGGTTATCTCTGCAACCATCTGGGCAAGAACTGGAATTATATTTTTACAATGAAAGCGGAAATTCTGGCGCAAGCAATGAATTTATTGGGGCCATGACTTTAGTTAGGGATACAGTTCTGATGGCCCTGTTGTCACGGTTTCAGGCTTAACTATCCCTCTGCCATCTTCATGGTCTCTTTCATGGCACGCCCTTAGATCTCAAGCCTCAAGCTGTCATCTTTTTTGGGGTGGGAATTTGTTCCTTTCCCTCCAGACCAGGGATTTAGGCTGCAATTTCTCCTTCCATTCACTGTGATCACCTTAGTAAGTCCGAGTTTAGCTCAGCAATTGCTGTCCTGTGATCTCCTTGCGGCAATGGGCAGGATTTACCGGAGACCAGCCAGCCTTCATAAAGCAAAGTATTTATTCAGAACCAAAAGCATTACAGAGGAAGCCGATCTTGACAACAACAAACCGCTTATATGTATGCCCAGCTCCACAGGTGTCACCCATGGTGCACAAGAGCTGGTAGGTCTCAAAGCCCTTCAGACC